TTTTTTTAGAAGGGTTTTGGAAAGAACGGTTGTTAAATGATGCCTGTATCCCTACATATATGTTATGTTCTCTAATCAAACGTGTTCTTCTGTCTGTCTCACAATGTCATTCCAAGCGTTCATCTCTCTCTGCACTTCTTCGGGCCACACTTTCTCGTTCCGTCTCCTCCAACGGTGTCCGTCACTCTTTCCCCACAGCAGTTGGGACAAAATTTTGGCATTCATTTAAACATCTCGCCAAAGGGCCGCTAAAAAAAAAAATTCAGGCCAGTAACACTCCCCGCGAAGCAACAGTACCTTTTTCTAGCCTCTGCACACCCCCCAACGAGTAGCTGCGTGGCTAAATTAAGTTTGGTGGCCTCCTGAGGGCCAACAGCACGTGGCAGCGTGTGTGCGGACATGCGCAGGACTGCAAACAAACACCCTTGTTTGAAAGTACAACACCTGGTAACAGGGCGAGCACGAGCAGGCGAATGTGACTCACAATGTGGAGGCACTTAATGGGGAGCGGTAGTGCAGCGGTTAGAGCGCTGCACTACGAATCCGAGGACCCGAGTTCAATTCCCGCTCACGGCCAACATCAGTGACGATTATATGAACCGGTCATGGGCCTCCCCTAGGGCAGCTCAGCCTTAAATGGGTACCGGCGTGATGTGTAAATGTCATCGCAAGGGAGACAAAGGCGGCCGGGCGTGGTGCTGCACATACACCCACCCCCTCGTGTGCCGTGCTGGCCTTCATAGGTGTTTGCTAACAGTACTTGCCCCAACAGTCTGTTTAAGGCTATACAGAGGCTCTTTGTCTTATTAGAGGCACCAAGGTCTCTTTTGCAACCTCCCGCTAAGGATAACGCAAAGTACATAGTCACTAACGTCAACCCACCAACGCCCCGTTGTGCATCATGACGATGATCTTAACAGGCGCTCGCGAATACACAACAAACACACTCAAGCAGCTAAGCATGTTTAAATACTGTACGTGTAAAGCCCCTTGTCAATCTAGGGGAGGGCACCAGGGAGGCAAACCCCCTAGACCATGTGGGTCGTGGGGGTTATTTGACCACTACTTGACCACGCTGGTTAGTGCGGGTTGGTGAAGGTGGAAGTACAGACGTCAGGGCGTAGTACAGTACAACAATGGGGTTTGCAGCCCTGCTCTCTGTTGCCCACATCGTGGCACAAGCAGAAAGCCTATAACATCTGTTTCATGCACGAGGTGGTCGCCCATCCAAGCTTCACCCAGGCTCAGCAGGAGCCCTGCTTAGCTTCTCAGGTCTGACGAGAACGGGCACATTTCAGAGATCGGTGATTTGGTCATATGCATCAAATCCAAACGACAATACGCAATAAATAGCTTCTGGGTGCTTCTAAATATAGCCGGGTTAGGGATAGGTTTTTTTTTGCCAGCCTGCTCTTATGTCAGCCCTTGCAAGAAAACATTTCTACCACTGGGCGGGCGTTCGCATGATTTCGATTTATTTCCCAATGCCAATTTTTCACCGTCTCTGTATGCAAGAAGAGCGGATGGCAAAAGGAAATTGACCGGAAATGCAGCGATCACCCCCCAGTTTGCACCTGGATCGCGTTCGACTGGGTAACCACGATGTGTACAAAAGCAGGTTTTATAGGCAGCGGGGGGGGGGGGGGATACGATGTGGGCAGACGGCAGTGCAACAAAATCCACAGTTGCACTCCACTCCTGAGCTCCTACATCTATGCTCCCCGCCTTCACCAACAAGTACTGACCCCGGTGTTATACGCTCCCACGTCTAAGCTCCTGACCCTCACCGTACCAGCGCCGGTCATTGTAAAAGCTCTTTTTCAGAAGCGACCTGGCCACAAATGATAGGGCAACGAAGTGGCTTATCATCGTGTGGAAATTTCCAGGAGCCAAATTGTCGAATCGCATGTTTCTACGTGTGGGGGGAAAACCCGGAGAAAAATCCACGCAACCACGAGGAGAGAGAACATGCAAACTCCAAATATACAGCAGCAGGCGTCAGGGTCGGGATCGAACCCACGACCTCCTGTATACCAGGCGAGGTAGTCAACATTCTGGCACCATGGCACTCTAAGTTGTCATCCCAATGTGAAGTGCTTCTCAACCGCAGTGCTCCCCTGCCGTTATTTATAACTGGTACGCCGGCCCCCAGATATTTTCTCTACCGTGAGTACATTTAATCTCAGGGCTTCTTCAAGTTAATCTTTATATATATACATGGCATCAAGGCTTTCATCTCTGTACCAGTTCTCTCAATCAGCAGCCACCATTGCAGTATTTGCTCATTATTGACGGCACTGCTCTGAAGTGATGATTGGCCGCTTTATTACATTTGACTTTGTACTCATTTGACTTTGTACTCATGGGCCGGTGGCAGTGTCTTGCGGACACAAGATTATTTCCGTGATATTTAAGGTGGGTGTTAATGACATGATCGCATCAAGAGCAATTTCCTTTAAAAAAACCCGAAACATCAACTCGCGCTTGTTCAAGATGCTTAGCATTGTATACATTAACACGCACAAGTTATTATTTCTTTGTGTTTAGTTTGTTGTCTTTCCCCCCCCGCACCTCCGATTAGCATGGTTGGCTACGGACGGTGCGAAACTATTTAAACGTACATATGAACATATTTCTCCACGTCTCACCTTGCACAAGACTTGTCTCAAAAGAACTCGTGATGATAACAATAATGTACAGGGCTTTCGTCAGCGCACTGCCGGATGAAGGCCTCCCCACACCATGTCAGTGATTGGGGTTGTTTGATCATACCTGACCACGCTGGTCAGTGTGGTCTGACAGAGGCCAGGGTGCTTCAGGAACTGGTTCAGATATCACTCGCCACTGATGTTAGCCATGGTCGGTTAATTGTGCAGTGCGTTTGACTGAATTCAAAACAAAACGAAATAATGAATCGAAAGGAATGCGAATGCAGGTTAAAATAACACCCGAGTAGAAATGGGAGGGGCATATTTATTATTTATGGTAATTATCGAAACCTGCAAAGCGCACAGTATTTACACATTCCCGAAGAAGAGGGAGAACGACTCAGAGGTGCAAAGAACCACAGACAAGTAGTGCCAAATTTCCCCAAAGCTCTGCGGTCCTCTATTTATTCAAGTGTCATCGACCGATTAAAGAGTAGTGTTTACATGGCGGGGGGAAACTGGAGCACCTGGAGAAATCTTGTGTGTCCGGGGGGGGGGGGGTCCAACATTTTACTGAACCGCCTTCCCCTGGCGAGTTCGGGCATGACACCTCGACGCCGACGCAAAGAGTGTTTCACAACGATAGCATGATCCACAAACCCACACCTCCACAGTGCTGGATCACAGGTGAGATACCACCATCACCTGGCTAAGGATTTTAACATCTATTACGCTTGCTTTCCCAGGAAATCCTCACCGAGAATCGAAACTCTTATTCACATGCTTCCTGCCAATTTTCAGTGTTGCATAGTCGCGGGGTGACAACGCAATGTGAAATTCCGCTCTAGTAAATTGCAGGTTATCTTTTTCCAGCATTGGGATGTTTGTCTTATGTCAGTTACATTTTTTTTTTAGCTATGGAAGGTAACCGGAGAACCCCGGGGGGAGAAAATAAGAATCAACCAATACAGAACAGTGGGAGAACACAGCAGGCCCTTCCCTGCTGTGAGGTACAAGCGTAACCCCACCGTGACCATTGCTGCCACCCAATAATATTATTGATGCGTGTTGATAAGGGGAGGTATTTATTCATGCATATGGACAGAGCACCGCATTCCCTGTAGCAATCAGCTGAGGTACCCTCTAGTTCATTTAACAGCAAAGCCAAAGTCTATTAATAAACAACAGGTTCAGCTGAAAAGAACCAGGCGCAAAACAATATTGTCGCCATTCTAATCAGCATCTATCGTGGCCGCAATCATCACACAGGGGGTTTAGATAAAATTAACTATCCAGTGAGCTTAAAATGAACGCGTGTCCTGACTTCAACCAAAAATGTACTGTTCGCCGGCAAGCTAGCTTCTCCTATGGGCCTTGCGAGGGAGAGACAGCTAACACACTTTTGGAAATCCCTCGAGCCATTCACGAAGTTGCTTTTCCAGACGAGGCAAAAAACGCACAGCAGTCAAAAGCAAAACACGCGCAGCCTGTAGCTGAACACACCGTACAGTGTAAAGAGGATTTTTTGTTTGTTTTTAAACACACTCCAAAGACAACGTGGCATGTAAAATGCCTTATATGGTCAAGAGGCAACGTTCAAGTCAGACATAAATCAGAACGCACGAGGTTAAATATAGAACGCACAGCACTCCTCCCCCCGGCTAAACCATACAGCTTCCAGGGCCCATCAAGAATACAACAAAACACTTCGGGCGGATATTTTGTTTACCACAGAGGTCATTTTCTTTTTTTAATCATCCCACCGCATGCTGCAGTGGACAGCAAAACAGAATGCATGCCCGAGCCTCGTTCTGACTGGACGATCGGACGCCCGTGCTTCAGTGATATTCACACCCCGCCGAGCCAAACACTGCCTTTCAGGCAAAGCAATTGTTCACATGTGAACTGCGAACAAGTAAAGAGCCAACTAAAAATCTAGGTAAAATCCATGCATGCACATGGATTGTGTAAGGCTTTTCAACGTGCTTTTTTTGTCTTGGGAAGTACAGTACTGAATCAGCGGCAGAGAAGCTGTCGGCGCAAAAATACATACCTGCATAAGCGCAAATAGTCCCTTTTGCTGTGGTTCGTGTCACTACGTTTTAGGCAACCGATTGATAAATTTGGCCAAGTTTCAATCGGGTGGCTTCCTAAGAGCAACGCAAATTTATTCTGAAGTTTGGCTCATATAAGAGTTATCATGCTGGAAACCATTTAAAAAATTAGTGCTCAAATGGTTTATTTACATTAAACCTTAAGTCTTTGGTTTTGCCACCCCAAGTTTACCTTTTTTTAAACTGTCGCACAAAGACACAAAAAAGAAACGCAACAACACACACTGCCAGGTCTCACCTTCTGTGCGTGGAGAGAGAAATTTTCTGGGCAGACATCGCCTACATGGGGGAAGAGGAAGGACACAAGGATAATAATCATTTGATGTGGGGAACATCAGCAAAGCATTACATTGATGTTGAAAGCTGAACTTTTCGAAGGTAAATGGGCGGCCCTGAGGTCAGAATCCTGAGCCAGCACTGCTGAGATCCTGGGTTCAAATATATCCTTCACCCGCACCTCCGATTAGCATGGTTGTCTACGTACGGTGCGAAAGACGTTCCAATACCGATACCACTAAGTGACGGTGACGTAACCACGGCGCCTGTGCCAAGCCAGGTGGAATTTGAGGCCACGTGAAGTGTTGAAGGCTCGCTGACAGGAGGACACGGGACAGAACCCAGGTACCCCCTGCTGTGCCAACTTGCTGCATTTTAGCCACCCGGTGCTCCACTCGTTGTTGTCAGTATCACTCCTTTGCCCTCAGTTGTTGTTGGGAGGGCGACTGCCTCCAACTGCCCAGGAGCGTCCTTTACGAGCCGCTTTCACAGGTGGAGGTGGAAAAAGACGTACCACATACATACATACAAAGGTATCCGTGATTAAACGGTGGTCTCCAGTTCAGCGAGGTGACGCTTTCGGCCTGATCATCAAAGATGGCGTGGAATATTTTTGTTCACTCAGCTTTTGCCTATTCCATGAGATGAACACCGCATGAAAGGTATATACTGTAAATGTGTGCCACTAGTGTAGACAATAAAAAATCCCTGCGGATGTCAACTGCGGACATCGTTGTCATAGATTCAGCCAGAGCCGTTTCCTCACACAGGGTGTACACCACGAGCTGTAAGAGGTCTGAACTAAAATGTATCCATCTCATGACATGTTGTGTATTGCATAACTTGAAACAAAAAGTTACAAAATATAACTTTTAGTCAGGGAGAGGACAATAATAATTGAATTATCAATAGAAGCTGCATAATGTGCCAAAAATCTAAACTAATCACAGAAATGTGTTGGAAAGAACAACCTAAAACACATTTGGAACATATTCAGCAAAGGCTGTACATGTTAATTTAACATCTGCATGTAATGGTTCAAAATGTACTCAGTAACTTTGCTTAATGAGTAAAACTTGATGGAAACTTCCAATCTGGTGCAAGGGGTTCATGACACAGGTTGTACACACACACACCTGTGAAACCAGGAAACTGGACGTTTTATTTTCACAGGAAATAAGATGTTGGTGGCTTTATAAAGATCGCAGTGCTAGGACAGTGGCAACTTTACTAAGAAAACCAATTTTGTTATGAGCTCTTCCAACAGCCTCTTCCACTGCCAAGTGGTGGCATCACTCCACTCCCAGCGGTTAGTTTTTTTTTTAACAAAAAAAAACTCTTCATTCTGACAAGTAACGTTTACAACACTTTAATGGAAACACACCCAGCGATGGGTAGTGGCAGGGTCCGTGAAAAAGCTTACGCTGTTATGGGGCAAGAGTTTTCATGGTGTAGGTGAAAAGGTCACGTTACCGCCAGCTGTCGGGCCCCCCCCCCCCTTTCTGCAGCTATCGCTCATCAGGGGTGCACGGCAGATGACACAACCCCGCCGCCACATCTGGTTCCCTAGAGCGTGCAGTTAAATGCCCAGGCAGTATCACGTCACAGCAGGCACGCCAGCCACGGCGGCGGAAGCCTGGTGGATCACCCAAGATTTTGCGCAACTCCCAAACCTGCAAGGCTGCGAGGTGGGCTGGAGGTGACAGCACAGAAAATAGGTTACTGCACCAATGAGCGTAGACCTTTTTAGAGTGCCATCTTCTTCTACGCTAAGGGTTCCCCAGGTCCTTCGGTTTCCTTCCACGTGCCAAGGTAAAGGTGCAAAGCTGCAAATTCTTGCTCACACTGCCACAGCCAAAAGGGCCTCAACCAGATCTAGACAGCCTCTCAAGAAGTTATTTAGCCTCCTCTTCCAACGTTGGCCAGATGCACTAGAAGAGATGGGGGTACCCACTCTTTGCCGCCCCCCCCCCCCCCCCATGCAAATCCCTTGCTGGATAAATCAATTACATTAGAGTAGAAAAAAAACATTTTCACATATAAACAGGGTGATGGTTTGGACAATGGCCCTTCATCATAGCACAACTCATCACGCATGTGCACCACTATCAACAAAGTACCAAATATATATTTTTAAATGTTTATTTTACGGCAGGTACTTCCTAACCAGCGCCTGCTGTGCAACTAATGAAGCGCAACAGTAACTCGGATACTCTCTTTCACTGTTGAATATTTAATTGCGTGTGAAGTCTGCATAACCTTGTACAGTAAAGTGAACTGAAAGGAATATTTTTTCACTTAATTTGTGCCGATGCTTGCAATTGCTTGATTTGCCGTTCGTTACGCTGAGAAATATGTTGTAACTGCAGACTTTTTGGTTTTATAATCGTCTACAGCCGACGTGGCCAGGTCTGCCACAACCCTCCATACAGCTTTCCTTTCTTTGGATTCACCAACATCTTTCCTGAGCCAGCGTCACCACTTCGTTCAAAGTCACTCCCTTCTAGACCCCCGAGCCCCGCATCGATACACCTAGTCCCGTCTTCCCCTCTATTCTTCTTCACCTGCTGTGGGCAGCGGCGTCAAGTACGAGACCCTATCCGGGTGCCTTCCTGCAACGTGTCCGAGAATCAGCGTTGTCTTCTTTCCTTCACTTTGTCCCAACAACCCCGGCTTGCTCGACTAATAACGTGAAGCCCCGGTCTAGAGACTAGCCAGAGCTTCAATTGAAACGCGTAAAACACACACAACAACTCTGTGTACTCAAAAGCAAATGGGTACATATATGAGTGTGTGCGGTGGTGTATCCATGTGTCAGTGTACAGATTAAACAATATAAAATGATTACCCAATATCTGTGTTGTGTGTACTCTGCTGCACAGTAGATAGTTATGGCTATCGGTCCGAGGTACGCTGTTCCCGATACCAGCCCACTACCCCCCCCCTACACACACACCTATGATCCCCCTCCCAGTCACGCCACACCTCACCGCCATCCTTCACCCCTATCACCTCTCCCCCATCCCAACTCCCACACCCCCCACGCCATTCCTCACCCATCCCTCCGCCATCCCCCAATACTAACATATTACTGCATGCACATTTACATCACAATTACAAATTTTACACAATATACACAACTGAACATTTTCTCCTGCATTGTATTACATATTTCACTTTACTGAACATTCTAAATTATGTAATTTTATTTTGTCTGCTAGATTCTTGCAATAGCAATACATACTTAGCCGGTATTTCCGGTATTGCTGCGAATACATATACAAACCGACTATCCGGGATTTTATTGAATATTCATTGTTCATTCTCGACAGTCTCAAAAATATGTGATGCATTGCCGGATGTGTGTGGTTTAGCCATTGAGTGTCTCACACACACACAAACAAGGCGCCTAAATGTGAACGTTTAACCAATTAACCTTGCTCAAACCTCGTAACACGTGCCTACACAATAACCAACAAAGGTGACCTCACTTAAAAGGCATCTGGAACTTAGTTACACGTACTGTACATACTGTGACACGTGTGGAATGGAGATCATTTAGCCAAATACAGTTGGAAGGGAGTGGAATGAGTGTGCACACATTAAGGCTGGCACACAGCACACAAGGAATGGTTTGGCCAGAACCACTCCCATCCACTTCTGGTGTCCCCGAATGATATTTGCACACCGCGCCAGGTACTCATATATGGCTCATTCGACCTATGGGAGGCCCAGAGGAGGTTCATATTCGAATTGGCAAAGCTCCGCAGGAGCTAGAAATGAACACGGGTCCATCAGTCTTTTGTCACAACCTGGTATTATACTGTGCTAACCACCGCACTAAATCTCTCCAATAACAAAACGCACACACGGCAAGCCACATGCATGTGCACAAGATAAAGGTGCAGTCAGACTATTGCATGCTCAAGCCACTACTGGCAGAAGGGCCTTTACTAGAAGAAGCTCTTGGGACACTTCAATAAGAGGGTTTCTGGCCTTCTCTTCCACACTGGCCAGACGTCTTGGAAGAGGTGGGCATATACCCACAATTTAACCCACCACACGCAGCCAAGCCAATCAACTGTGGCCTATGCATTTATACTGCAGGGTGGTCAGAGGCAGCGGGTTGGAAAGCAGGTGTTAAGAAACTTGCACCTTTGTTGCTTCAACTGCTGCGCTGGGAGATGGAATTAAACAGATGACCCCTGGATTTTAAATCCAGTCTGCTCACCATCGTGAACATCCCGTGTAGAGCTGACAGTGTATTTTGCACTCACCTCGAGTATTCCCCCTCCTTCCCGTAGCGGCCAAGTCTCGAGTACTCCCTCGGCCTGTGCTGATGCTGTCACGGAGGAAAACGCACACGCACGCACGCGCGCGCGCGTGCACACACACACACACACAGAGACACACACCCCAGGCAAATGCCATTAGGAGGAGCCCATTCCTGTCCGGATAAAGAAGTCCGGCCAGATGCCACTTCCCAACAAAGAAAATAGCGAGCACTCTGAAAGAAACAAAAAAAAATACACTCAAAAATAAAAAAAGAATTGGCCATCGCAACGTCGCACAGGGTCTCAGAGGAAGCGTGATTTGCCAGGCCAAACAATACCCATCCACCTCTCCCTGTCTTAATACCTGGGGACTTGTCTCAAAATGATAGAGGGAGTTGAGGTTTTGTTTTTAGATATAACAATTACAATGGGAGATGTTAAATACCCCGTATGCCTCCTACACTCTGGCCAAACGTGTCAATGACATTCACTTTGGGTCATTTGCTTATCCAGGAAAGCCTCAGGACACTGACCCGCTCTCATTCAGGACGGTCCTTCACTGAGATCTTGACCCACCGGGCAACTCAAAGAATGAAACAATCCCCGTTGGGAATCGTAAGCACAAAGCAAACAATCGAATGGCTTTCCTGGATGAGAGATTTGCACAACACTCCCGTGGCGATTGGCGAATATACAATTTTAAGGGGTGTCTTGCATGTGGAAGGAAACCGGAAAACAGCACAAAGATGGGGTTCACAAGCTTTTTCTTGCTGTACTGCAAGAGGAGTCTCTTGGCCTCCACACAGCCCAGTGGATTTGACCAGATTCAGAAACCTCTCCATGGTCCAATTGCCTCCAAAGCAACTGAATCACAGGCGTGTGGTGCACCATGCCCAGTTAAAAATGTGTCCAAAGAAATAACCCACAATCGTAAAATCTGACAATAGCGGCCGCATCGTAAATAACGTATACACACATATTGTTGGAATTTCAAACTTACCGAGTATCAACTCCAAACCCTCTTTGAGGAGAATTCTTCTTGAGATACATGATATCCATTGCCAGGAGGCAGCAATAAATAAATTATTATGAAATGTACGTGTGACGCTTTGGGTGTTATCCCCTGAAACGCAAAGGAGTTTCTCCAAGCATTATGGGTTTCCTCCCAAAAAGGCAAACATTCCCACGGAGGACCTTCGTAGAAGTAAATGTGAGACTTGGTCTGACTTTCGTGGGTAAAGTGCATGAGAATAAGAAAAAAATAATAATATAAATGTGGTCGTGGAGTGGTGGCCCAGTGACGAGCACACCTACGCTATGAACCTGCCAACCCAAGTTCGATTTCAGGCTAAGAACATCAGTGTTGAGCGACATCTGAACCAGTCCCAACCCCTCCCCCATGTTTATGAACCCACACGAACCAGCGCTAAAACGCGCGCTCAATACCACTCCCAATGACCAAAAGGGCATACACAGGGGGCCTTCAACCAGTGCTGGATAAGCCAAGGGCTGGAAAATACTTAATTATTGCAAAAATTATAACATTGAGTATTCCTTCCATCAGATCTACATAAAACAGAGGTATATAAAAGCATAAAAAACGTAATATTATTTCAAATATGCATATATATTAAATAAACATTGTAAGGCGTCATATCATTGGAATGCCTACATGGGCATTTAAAGCAGAATTACAAGATGAATATGGGAGAGAAAAAAACACAACTCAGAAAACTTCTTGCTGAGCAATGCTCTGCTATGAGACTAAGGCTTTTATCATCGGCTTTCCACATCCCATTGGCTGTCTGAGGCACAGCACCACTTTCTAGCCAGCACATACATCTTTATAATGCTGTAGTTGAGTGCATTCACAGGAACAGCAGCAATCTTTCTTGGCAAAAATAAAATGTAAGAGAAGAGGGCTGAAGCATTGCTCTGTGTTTATTTAAGACTGAAAGTAGGATTCTTTACAAAGTGGGCACATTGATCACAGCTAAATGAGATTCAGTATATAATAATCTCAATAAAAGATTTATAGGTAATTAATAGATTTGGATGTTTGTCCAAAATTGAGCGTTTTTGCCTGTGGATGGAACGAAGAAAGCTGTGGAAATTCCCCATATGCCTATGACAGCGACCAGCCTACTCCGGAGGATATATACCGTGGACTTCCCAGATAGGCATGGCAACAGCAGGTACGACTTTATTTTCTTTACCAACCTCAGAGAGAAGATGATGATGATGATGGAGTTGAGTCAACCCTACTTATTTCAATACAACATCGCACAATCCTACATCAGCTTGAAATTATCTTACAAACATTGCCCAGTTAAAATCTTTGCTATTCGGCCCTTAGAAAAAAAACCCTTTGCATAATATTCTGAGAATTAGGATCTTGCTTCACTCTACCAACAACGTGACGTGTCAACGGTCCAGTGGTGGCAATTCAGGCATGGTGTCACTCAATGTGCACATGGAAAAGTGAAGCTTAAGTTTTTCTTGGATCGCACCCTTCTCTCAATTTGTTACGTTTGGTGAAAGAGTCAACAGCTGAGAATCTAATTCTACTCTGTGCGTATTTACATGTTGGTCAGAGGATCCCAACCTCTCCTTCTCTGCATCTATGCCACTACACGATGTGTATTGACTGAAATGCATTTTACAACCAGTGAATATTAAGGGATCATCCTTAAACTTGCAATGCTTCAATTTAGCGGAAAATTAAATAAAGCCAGGAGGCGTGATCTTGAAAATAACAAACCAGAATATTAGGTGGCACTCTTGTTTGCATTTTGCTGATTCACTGTATGACCTGCCGATACTTTTAACTTTTCATTCAAGTTCACAGCTCGTGCTGACCTCAGTGTTAGCGTCATCAACAAAAACACTCTACCTTATCAGTGGGCACAAACGATTCAAGTTGGGGCGCCCTGCAAGGTAAGGGAATAAACAGCTCACGATCATCATCAGCCATGATCAACCCACTGCTCCATGAAGGCCTCCCCTAGCCGTTACCATCTGTCATAGTCCTGTGATGTAGCAATTCACCGAGCAGCTCCACATGAGCCGATTACAGCGCTACATCTCTGCGGCGGACACTCCTTTGGCTGCCACTCCAACGTATGTCTCGACCGCCCTTCTCGTAACATGTCCTGCCAAAGCCCACTTCTTCTTCTTAGCAGTTTGCCGTCTTTTACTCATACAAGTAATCCTCTTTCTGTCTCTCATTTTTATTCCAAATATGCTTCTCTCCATTCTTATTCGTTCACTTATTAGCGTTTGCTCTGTTTTCTCTCTTAAGGTCCATGTTTTAGATCGATGTCACGGTGAGTATTATGCCCTGATTAAAAACTTTTCTTCATTAAGCAGATTGAGATGTTGATTTTCATTATCAAGTTAAGCCAAAGAAAAGCATTCCAATCCACCCAAAACAAAAATCTACATTCAAATAGCATGACAAATAACGGTGCCACTGGACAGCAGGGCTGGTTACAAGAAGCACCGCATGTCGCATGTCGTAACAAGCTTGCGCTGCCAGATATGCCCAGTCACCACCGCGGCCAAAAAGGCCAATGCAAAAGTCACCACGGCAAGTGTGTTAAATCCCACAAAGTGTACACTGCGTACACTTGGAGTAAATTTACTGCATTATGTTGGCCCATGCTTTATGATGCAGATTTCTCTCTTAAATGAGTGATTTAATTATGTTGCGTTTTTAATCGCCACTCGCCAACACGTGCTATAGCGGCTACATTATGTAACGCTACAGCAGTTAAGAGTCCAAGCACATTATTGTTCAAAGGCAGCCTCTTACCTCTGGACTAATTAAGACTAAACCAACACAACACAGCCATCAAAGCTTGAACACGCTGAACGGCAACGCTGCAGCATTTTCCATTGTAAATCCTCCAACATACGCTGGCAAGTAACACTTATTGTTTGGCAGGAAACAAGTGCAGGCCAAAAGCCCCAATTTTCCTATAAGTTTAAGAGGCTGAAGAGAGGTTCGTCAGTGGGTCAAATTTGCCAGGAAGTTGTGAGAACCGAACAGCTAAACTTAACACTTACCAACATTATTGGTGAATAAAAATTGCCCTTTAAATGTGTATGGTATTTGGTGAAGGGTTTACAGACAGCCCTTCACCCTTCACAACTTACATCCCCCCTTTGTAAATCCATTATTGGTCAGGATGGAATCCCTTCCCCCTGTTGGTCCATGGGGGCTCATGTGACCATACTTTACCACACTGGTTAATACAGGTGGTAAAGGGGTGGCTCCAAACTGGTTCATATATCACTCACCACTGATGATAGCTGTGGCCAGGAATCCAATTCAGGTTGCCAGGTTCAGAGCAGAGCGCTTGAACAACTGTCCACTGTGCCACCAATTTCCCCAAAAACCGTAACTGAATGGACTCCATAATGGTGACTTGATGGAATCCATCAAGTGCAGCTAATTTTGAATTAATATTTAACACAACTGACTGCAAAGAATGTAAACAGTAATAATCCAGTCCTTTGTCAATCCACTGCTGGATTAAGCCCTCTCCTAGACATGTTGGTCATGGCGTTTGTTTGAGGATATATTCCAGGCTGGTCAGGGTGGGTTGTTGAAAGGTAAAGGGGGGACAGAACCACATCAGATATAATTCCCCACTGGTATTGGTCATGGCTGGGAAAACAACGTGGGTTGAAACCCCTCCACACCCCCTTAGCCTCCTAATGAGTAATTAATAAACGCACCACCGTACTACGTGATATGGCAGTGTATGAGTTGTTTCTCTTGGCACCTCAAGCCCTACTCCTGATTAAACTCTCACCCCTGTCACTATTGGCGTCTCAAAGGCCCTCACCTGCATAAAAAAAAAACATCAACATAAATATCGATTATTCTTTGGGTCTTTCGGTAAAGTCACGTAGATAGGTTCAAAGAAGATAACAAAAAAATTACCAAAAACAACGACGTTTCGATCGCAACACAAGCGTTCGTCATCAGGAAGAAAAAAGAGGGGAAAAGCTGCTGAGGCAGGCTGTTTTAAAGGTTTAAAATGGGTGTAGCCTAAGGGTCATAAACGAAGTGGGCGGGGCTAGCGATGTTAATGTGAGAAATTAGCATGTTCATGGGAGATGGCAGAGAAGCCACCTCGCTCGCCGAGCTCGACGTTGCTGCTCTGCGATCTCCCATTAACATTCTAATCTCACATTAACATAGCCACCTTCGCACCCTCGTCATGGAGGTCGCTCTCCGATCTTACATTAACATGCTAATTTCTTACATTAACATAACTAGCCCCACCCACTTCGTTTATGACCCTTGGGCTACACCCATTTTAAACCTTTAAAACAGCCTGCCTCAGCAACTTTCTCCCTCTTTTTTCTTCCTGATGACGAACGCTTGTGTTGTGATCGAAACGTCGTAGTTTTTGGTAATTTTTTTGTTATTTTCGTTGAACCTATCTACGTGACTTTACCGAAAGACCCAAGAATATGAATTCGTGCCGTGCACAAAAGCTTTAAGTCAAGATTTAAATATCGATGATCAATTCCTTCCTTGGAGTGATGTAAGTGTATGCTGAGAAATTATGGACCGTCCTGGAGACTTGTGAAAAGAACAAAAAAATGATGCACACCAATATTTCAATGCATGACACACGGCTGTAAATTAATCAAAGATGACATGTGATGGCGATTTTTACCCGCTCATAAGTGAATTGTGTCCAGGTTCTCCGGTCTCCTGTCCCACAAAGCCAAATGCACATAAATCGAATTGGCAAAACATCCTCATGTAGCAGAACTGTCCTCATCAAATCATCTTGTGGATTTCTTTGGTAAATATTTAGCATTATAAGTGACTGAAACTCTGTCATATGTACAATACCCACAACGTAACGCTTAACACGACAGATAACTATGGGAGTTGCAATGCATGGACTTCTAACAATCCTAAGGATCAAGATACACGTGAAGCCTGCAGCAACTCCCAAGCGATGTAATTTACCACAACACTAAGCAAATTAGTTGCATCTTGAGTCGAACCATGACTATTCATAAAATCGGCAAAGGGGTGATTCATCACACCTCTACAGACAGCTCAAAATTGCTATGCCTTGTCTGAAAAATCGCTTCCATCCTCCTTTTGCTACTGCTGTGGCAAGGACGTCAAGTGATCTCATCTCCACTAAATCTCCCTTCTGCTCCAGCAATAAAACCCAGAGGCAAAAATTTGCGACCCCATTTCATGACGTTCAGTCATCGATTTGTTGAACCTGACCCTAAAACTGTGCTCGTATCTCTGTACACAATAACCAAAGTTTAAATGGTTAAATGATATTAATCAATGTCAGCCCTTTGTCCGAACGCAGCTGAATGAAGGCCTTCCCATGCTCTTCGGGTCATGGGGCTATTCGGACACAGTGCATGGTTGGTAAAGGACAGGCCAGGAATGACTCAGATATCAGTGGCCACTGACGTGAGCTCTGGCAGGGAATAGCGAGAAGTTAAATTTCCGGGTTCATGGCACTGCGTATGAGCCACTGCACCACCCTTCCTCCAAATGTTTATTATATATACAGTATTTCTACTTTAATTCCAAATGTTACTGTCATTATAGCACACCTTTGACACAGGCAGACTAACTACCTTAACCACATAAGTGTGTAGATAGTGTATGCCAGCAGAACACTTGAATTGTACAAGTATTGACTCATCACCTCCCTTTAGTGGTTGGTAAAAACAAATAAGCACTACCTGGTACTGTAAGCGGCACCCCCAGATAAGAAGATGTTGATGAGGGACTTCGTCGGAGCTCTGTTGACCATGCCTCTCGACCACCATGCATAGGAGTGATTTTTTTAGGCTGCTGAGAGGTGTGTGTGTATAGGTCGACTAAGCCTCGTATGAGTACCGAGCGTGGTGTGTAAATATCTCAACTAGGGAGACAAAGGTGACTGGGTGCTGGCCAACCCACCCCCCTCTTGTGCTGTGCTGGCCTTCATAGGTGCTCGCTAACAGCGCTTGCCCCAAGAGTCTGTTTAGGTTATACGGTATAGGGGGGGTATCTTTGTCTTTGGTGGGAATGATTGCCATTTTTAAAAGGCATCCTTTGGTCTCGCCATGGGAATGTTGCGTTATCAGAGCCAGGTGAGAACTCAAACTCTGTTGCTCTCTTGAAGAGAAACTGCCCCCCCTCTCCTTCGACCCCCCCACCCCACTCAGCACCCCCCCCCCAAATCAGCCCCCCCACCCCATCCAGCCCCCCCTACCCACCCTGCCCCCCAAGCAGGAACAACGCACTTCCCTTGCACTGGGGTAGGGAAGTGAATAGAATGAATGTTCCGTTCAAGATATCAACGATCTCTGTGTCCTGCCCATAGCAGTTTGGAGACATTCACCCATCGGCCGATGAGCGATACAAACGTGACAGGAGGCGTGAACGTGTTGCATGGCGGTATTTAAAAACGTGGAGCGATTAAATCGTTGCCTTCTATATATCCCACGTGTGATCCATTTTCCAAACGTGTTTCCTCTATTGAAGTGAAGCCATTCATAATAATCCACGTTTAGCGTACCAAGTGCTGAAACACGATGCGTACCGTACAACTATTAACCAAAGTAAATAAAAAGATCGTACGCAGTGTTATGCAATAACAGTACACGTTACTACAATACACGCTATTAACGATTAAACATAAACAGTCAACTTCCACCCGATTACACAAATCACTTCTCTATGTGCACAAACTTGACACTTCAATGTATATTTTTTATAACCGTACGGTCATTTAAAAAAAATCGACACTTTAAAAAAACGTACAAATATTTGTGTTTACACGTGCTCGTCTAGAGAGAGGAAACTTGAGTATAGAACGCGGTGCCACGGGGCCGTCAATTGAGATGAAATCCTCTTCGCTTTTCTCCCGCAACCGCGACGTTCCAAGGACCCCCACCACCACCAGACCACGCGGCCTCGTGCAAAACGCGGAGCAGAATTCACCCCCCCCCCGCTCCGTGCAAAACGCGGAGCAGAATTCCCCCCGCTCCGCGCAAAACGTGGAGCAGAATTCATCCCCCCCCCCCGCTCCGTGCAAAACGCGGAGCAGAATTCACCCCCCCCCCCCCGCTCCGTGCAAAACGCGGAGCAGAATTCACCCCCCCCCCGCCCCGGGCAAAACGCGGAGCAGAATTCACCCCCCCCCCCGCTCCGTGCAAAACGTGGAGCAGGATTCACCGCCCCCCCTCCCCGCTCCGTGCTACACCCCGCAGAGGACCCCCCCCTGGACCCCAACGCACGCTACAACAAATACAAGCGAAGGAGGGGGGGGGCAAATAACCCAAACCCCGTAGCAAACAACGTGGCCGCGACGCATTTTTTTTTTAAATAATATCTCTCAACTCCCCCCCCCCCTAAGCGCTTAACTACTTCCACGCAGTAAACTCGCGTCTCTCATCAAAGTCCAAAACAATTGTGCCCATTAAGGCGCGAAACGTGCGGCACTGCGTGTTTATTGTATTGTACACAATGCGCACGACCCCCGCTACAACACGCCGCTAGAGCACCCGAGCGGAGCGTGCCGCTCAAACAAAATACAACAACACAAACCACAGTAACACGACGTCTCGCCCGTCTTTTAAAAAAAGTAACAGCGGAAAGATCCCAACAACAAAAAAAACACGGCAAAATTCACTGTGGAGTGGTGGGGGGTGGTGGGGGGCCCTTCTAACACCACCCTGTTTTCAACGCAATTTCCACGTTGAGATCTTCCCCGCGGGCCCCCCCTTCTTACCTAGCCGCCCTACCGGGGACAACGCCGCCTCACGCGGCCAAGGTGAGAACGCCGACGGGGGGGGTGAGGAGGTGGTCAAACGCGTGAGGTTGGCGAGGTTGGGGCTAGTCTGGCGACGATTGGTGACGGGAATGTTTACGACGATGTGAGCGGCGACGACGCTGATGACGCTGATGATGATGATGTTGTTGTTTCGTGATTTCCCCTCACCTCCTCGCCCGAGTAGTCCGTCCGCTGTGGGCACGCACGCCACGAGTAGCAGCCGCACCGCGAGGCCCAGCGAGCGGGAAACCATCCCGGCCGTGCTGCTCTCTCTCTCTCTCTCGTCTTTAAACACAAACTTCGTCTGCTTTTCTCCTCCTCGCAATCTTCTCAAATATCTTCTAGATCCCTCCTCCTCGTCTTCTTTCCTCCTCGTCCCTTCTCTCTCCGTGGCCCCGCCGCCTCTGCGAGCGACGCTGCCCAGGACTGTGGTGGTTGTGGTTTGAGTGGCAGTCGGAGGGGGGCGGGGGGTGGGGAGCGGGGGGCGGGGGTTTGACTGCATGGGGATGCAATGGCCACGGGGATGCGCTCTCTCGTCACTGAACTTGGTCTGGGATCACAACAAAGACAAAGATCCCCCGTGTAGCCTGTAACAGGCTGTAGGGGCAAGTGCTGTTAGCGAGCACCTACAGACACACACCAAAGATCCCCCGTGTAGCCTGTAAAAGACTGTAGAGGCAAGTGCAGTTAGCGAGCACCTACAGACACACAACAAAGACAAAGATCCCCCGTGTAGCCTGTAAAAGACTGTAGGGGCAAGTGCTGTTAGCGAGCACCTACAGACACACAACAAAGACAAAGATCCCCCGTGTAGCCTGTAACAGACTGTTGGGGCAAGTGCTGTTAGCGAGCACCTACAGACACACAACAAAGACAAAGATCCCCCGTGTAGCCTGTAACAGACTGTTGGGGCAAGTGCTGTTAGCGAGCACCTACAGACACACAACAAAGACAAAGATCCCCCGTGTAGCCTGTAAAAGACTGTAGAGGCAAGTGCAGTTAGCGAGCACCTACAGACACAACAAAGACAAAGATCCCCCGTGTAGCCTGTAACAGACTGTTGGGGCAAGTGCTGATAGCGAGCACCTACAGACACACAACAAAGACAAAGCTCCCCCGTGTAGCCTGTAACAGGCTGTAGAGGCAAGTGCTGTTAGCGAGCACCTACAGACACACAACAAAGACAAAGCTCCCCCGTGTAGCCTGTAACAGGCTGTAGAGGCAAGTGCTGTTAGCGAGCACCTACAGACACACAACAAAGACAAAGATCCCCCGTGTAGCCTGTAACAGACTGTAGGGGCAAGTGCAGTTAGCGAGCACCTACAGACACACAACAAAGACAAATATCCCCTGTGTAGCCTGTAACAGACTGTAGGGGCAAGTGCAGTTAGCGAGCACCTACAGACACAACAAAGACAAAGATCCCCCGTGTAGCCTGTAACAGACTGTTGGGGCAAGTGCTGTTAGCGAGCACCTACAGACACACAACAAAGACAAAGATCCCCCGTGTAGCCTGTAAAAGACTGTAGAGGCAAGTGCAGTTAGCGAGCACCTACAGACACAACAAAGACAAAGATCCCCCGTGTAGCCTGTAAAAGACTGTAGGGGCAAGTGCTGTTAGCGAGCACCTACAGACACACAACAAAGACAAAGATCCCCCGTGTAGCCTGTAACAGACTGTTGGGGCAAGTGCTGTTAGCGAGCACCTACAGACACACAACAAAGACAAAGATCCCCCGTGTAGCCTGTAACAGGCTGTAGGGGCAAGTGCTGTTAGCGAACACCTACAGACACGCAACAAAGACAAAGATCCCCCGTGTAGCCTGTAACAGACTAGGGGCAAGTGCTGTTAGCGAGCACCTACAGACACACAACAAAGACAAAGATCCCCCGTGTAGCCTGTAACAGACTGTAGGGGCAAGTGCTGTTAGCGAGCACCTATGAAGCCCGGCACGGCACACGGAGATGGTTGGTGGGCAGCACCACACCCGGCCGCCTTTGTCTCCCCCGGTGGCGATGTTTTTTTTACTACACATCGCACCGGGTGACTCATTTGAGGCTGAGTCGACCTCGGCAGAGACCCAGGACCGGTTCCAGATGATCATCACCGATGTTGGCCGTGAGCGGTAATCGAACAGCACACCTACCTCTGGGTAGACTCAGCCTAAAATGTCGAGCGCTATCCCCGTTACGAACTGTAAAGCGAGGCTCACCCGCCACTCACAACTTTACAAACTGCCGGACAAACGTTCCCCTAGCCCCGTAATTTGAAGCAGATATCACTGAGCACTTGTGTTAGATGTGGCAGGAAAGCGAAGTCCAGTTGCCAAAGGTTGCGTAGTTATCATTCTGTAGTTGCGTGTATCAGTGGAGCTGAGCTGTCAACCCCTTTTATCAGTGCCCTCCCTACCTTGTTACAGACCAATTCAGACCCTTATTGGTCATCCCCGTACCCCTTACAAATCTCAACGTTCATCCTACTAAGTCACCATCGCAAGAGAGAAGCACGAATACTGTAGACATGTAGTCACTACACGTAGTGAGAACGGCTGGTCGCCGTATGGACCTGAAAACTAAATTTCCCTGTACAATAATACTGGTGGTGTAATGACTACATTATCAGTGGCGTAGTAACTACATTATCAGTGGCGTAGTAACTACATTATCAGTGGCGTAGTGGCTACATTATCAGTGGCGTAGTCACTACATTATCAGTGGTGTAGTAACTACATTATCAGTGGTGTAGTGACTACATTATCAGTGGTGTAGTAACGACATTATCAGTGGCGTAGTGGATATATTATCAGTGGCGTAGTCACTACATTATCAGTGGTGTAGTAACTACATTATCAGTGGTGTAGTAACTACATTATCAGTGGCGTAGTGGATACATTATCAGTGGTGTAGTAACTACATTATCAGTGGCGTAGTGGCTACATTATCAGTGGCGTAGTCACTACATTATCAGTGGTGTAGTAACTACATTATCAGTGGTGTAGTAACTACATTATCAGTGGTGTAGTAACTACATTATCAGTGGTGTAGTGACTACATTATCAGTGGTGTAGTAACTACATTATCAGTGGTGTAGTAACTACATTATCAGTGGTGTAGTGACTACATTATCAGTGGTGTAGTGACTACATTATCAGTGGTGTAGTGACTACATTATCAGTGGTGTAGTAACTACATTATCAGTGGCGTAGTAACTACATTATCAGTGGTATAGTGACTACATTATCAGTGGTGTAGTAACTACATTATCAGTGGTGTAGTGACTACATTATCAGTGGTGTAGTGACTACATTATCAGTGGTGTAGTGACTACATTATCAGTGGCGTAGTAACTACATTATCAGTGGTGTAGTGACTACATTATCAGTGGTGTAGTAACTACATTATCAGTGGTGTAGTAACTACATTATCAGTGGTGTAGTGACTACATTAGCAGTGGTGTAGTAACTACATTATCAGTGGTGTAGTGACTACATTATCAGTGGTGTAGTAACTACATTATCAGTGGTGTAGTGACTACATTATCAGTGGTGTAGTAACTACATTATCAGTGGTGTAGTGACTACATTATCAGTGGCGTAGTAACTACATTATCAGTGTAGTAACTACATTATCAGTGGTGTAGTAACTACATTTCCAGTGGTGTAGTGACTACATTATCAGTGGTGTAGTAACTACATTATCAGTGGTGTAGTGACTACATTATCAGTGGTGTAGTAACTACATTATCAGTGGTGTAGTAACTACATTATCAGTGGTGTAGTGACTACATTATCAGTGGTGTAGTAACTACATTATCAGTGGTGTAGTGACTACATTATCAGTGGTGTAGTAACTACATTATCAGTGGTGTAGTGACTACATTATCAGTGGTGTAGTGACTACATTATCAGTGGTGTAGTAACTACATTATCAGTGGTGTAGTGACTACCTTATCAGTGGTGTAGTGACTACATTATCAGTGGTGTAGTGACTACATTATCAGTGGTGTAGTAACTACATGATCAGTGTTGTAGTGACTACATTATCAGTGGTGTAGTAACTACATTATCAGTGGTGTAGTGACTACATTATCAGTGGTGTAGTGACTACATTATCAGTGGTGTAGTAACTACATTGTCAGTGGTGTAGTGACCACATTATCAGTGGTGTAGTGACTACATTATCAGTGGTGTAGTAACTACATTATCAGTGGTGTAGTAACTACATTACCAGTGGTGTAGTGACTACATTATCAGTAGTGACTATATTATCAGTGGTGTAGTGACTACATTATCAGTAGTAACTACATTACCAGTGGTGTAGTGACTACATTATCAGTAGTGACTATATTATCAGTGGTGACTATATTATCAGTGGTGTAGTGACTACATTACAGTGTAACAAACAAACACATTGTTCCTGGGTAGTAAGTGTTATTTCCAAATTGCGTATGCCTCACAAGTACAGAAAATGGCTATTATTCCCCACAAACTTTGCTTTTGTGACTCGGCCAGTGATATTTAGAAATGTACCTATTTTCAATGAGAAAACGTGGTGTGCATTTGTGTCATTCCTTCACATCAAGTCCTGATCACAAAAGCAAAGTTTCGTGGGGAATAATAGCCATTTTATGTAATTTTTAGACATAAGCAATTAAAAAATAGCACTTCGTACCCAGGAACAAAAATTGTCTTACATAGTGTTATCAGCCCAGGGGGGTGCGGAAATCGGTCAGTCGGGGCCCCAATATTAGATTTGTCTCGCACGGCCGCACCAAGGAGACAATTCTACATCGCAGCTTCTCTTTGCCTCATCACAATCGTTACGCTCACGATCTCGAACATTTAACGTTGCACTGGTGGGGGGAGGGGGGAGGCGCTACGTCTTCGCAAAATAAGTTGTTCTTTTTACACTGTTGTTGAAAACATATCTCGTGATGGTTTTCATGGAGGGGGGCCCAACTCGGAGCTTTGGCCACCAGCACCCCCTGCCCCCACGCTCGTGACACTACCGGTGTGCATGTATATTCTTTGGTTCTTTCGGTAAAGTCACGTAGATAGAAGAAAAATAATAATAAAAATCAAGTGTATGTAGTATCCATAAGAGTTTTTTTTGGGGGGTTCGATCGCGTAAATATATAAATGTGTCGTTAAACCCGCCACCACCCGACACAGCCAACTAGTAAGGGTTGTCACATAAACAGAACGTGGCCAATTCGTCACTAGTACAGCCACACCGATGTGTTGGAGAGCCAAGCCACAACATTTACAATCCGAGTACTTAACGACACTTTTAGATATTTACGCGATCTAACCCCTAAAAAAACTCGATTATGGATGAAAATGTTCGCGAAAGCCTACGTGTGTATGTAGTAACTTTTATTGATGCGAGGCACACACATGCTTGGTGTACATTTTACTCTATGGAGCATCTAATACTGGTAGGAACGAAGTTGTAAACTGAGTGTACCAGCCTGCAAT